AGTTTCTAGGAAATGTCGGATCTCGACTCGCCAACCTGCTGCTGGCTGGTCGTCAGTGGTTGCTACAGGAACAGTTTCGTCCTCATCGGCTGTGATTTGGAGAACTTTCTGGGTCGGGACTATGCTGGGTTGGGATATTCCTTGAATTGGAATAGTTCTCCGAGGGGTTGAATCTCTGTTCAACACTATAGCAGCTAGGGTATCAGCGCCGGTGTTGGCAGATCGGTCGATTTGATGTAGTTCAAAGGTTTTGAACTCTGAGGCTAGCTGCTTGACCAGCTTCAGGTAGGCGTCCATTCGATCGTCTTTCGCGTCGTACTCACCACTGAATTGCTTGGCGACGAGCTGCGAATCACTAAATGCTCGAATGTGTTGGATGTTCATCCCCTGAGCTAGCCGAAGCCCTCCGATCAGTGCTTCGTATTCTGCTTCGTTGTTGGATGCACTGAACTCTAAACAGAAGCACTGCTTGAGGAGCTCTCCGGTGGGAGAACCCAATAAGATGCCGATGCCAGCTCCTAAGCGCGACGATGCTCCATCGACGTGTAGTGTCCATATGTCCAAATTTGTTGGGTCAGTGTTCAAGAGCTCCGGTGACAGTTTGATCAAAAAATTCGCCAAAACTTGTGATTTCGCGGAGGTCCGCATTCGATAGTCGATATCGAACTCGGAAAGCTCGATCGCCCACTTCGCCATGCGGCCGGATTGCGTCGGGGCTGTGCAGGATCAATCGAAGAGGTTGGCTGGTCATGACGGCAATGGAATGAGATTGGAAATAAGGTCGCAGCTTTCTGGATGCGACGACCACAGCAAGAGCGAGTTTTTCCAAGGTCGGGTAGCGATTCTCAGCACCGTCCAAGGTTTTGCTGAAGTAGAAGATCGGCTTCTGCTCCCCACGGTCCTCTCGAACCAGGACTCCGCTGATTGCCGTGCTGGAAACCGCTATGTAGAGTAGCAGAGTGTCGCCGTACTCAGGTTTGGCCAGGATCGGCGGTGTTGAGAGGTAGGTTTTGAGCTGCAGGAACGCGTCTTCACACTTTTCGTCCCACTTGAATCGCTTGTTACCTCGTAGAATTTGGTAGAAAAGGAGACACTTGTCTGTGGATCGAGATATGAATCTGTTCAGCGCGGCTATTCTTCCTGTTAGGCGCTGAACTTTGCGAGTATTAGTCGGCAAGGGTAGTTCCAGGATCGCGGAGATCTGCTTAGGATTGGCTTCGATGCCACGCTGAGTGACCAGGTATCCTATAAATTCGCCGGAAGTGAGTGCGAAGGTGCATTTTGCGGGATTGAGCTTCATGCCTTACTCGTTCAGTATGAGAAAGCATTCTCGCAGATGGACAATGTGGTCGGCTGCTTTAGCCGATTTGACGAACATATCGTCTATATACACCTTCATCGTCTTCCCAAGCTGGTCGGCAAACATCTTGTTGACAAGGCGCTGATAGGTGGCTCCAGCGTTTTTTAAACCAAATGGCATGACCCTGTCGCAATAGGTTCCTCGATCTGTGATGAATGCAGTCTTCTCACTATCGTCGGGATTCATGAGAATCTGGTTGTATCCCGAGATTGCATCCATGAAGGAGAGTAGTTCGTTGCCCGCGGTAGCCTCGACGAGCTGATCGATACGGGGAAGGGGGAAACTGTCCTTCGGGCAAGCTTTGTTGAGGTCGGTGAAATCGACGCAGACTCACCACTTGCCATTTTTCTTCTTGACTACTACCGGGTTGGCGAGCCACTTCGGGTATTTGACTTCGGCGATTGATCCGGCCTTCAGCAGTTTATCGACTTCATCGTTGACGGCTTGTGCTCGCTTAGGTCCTAACTTCCGTCGCTTCTGCTTGATCGGCTTGAAAGTGGGGTCGACGTTCAACTCGTGATTTGTTATTCGAGGGCTAATGCCCTTCATGTCGGCTATTGACCACGCAAACGTTGCGATGTTTTCTCAGAGGAAACTGATCAGCTCGTCCTGCATGCTTGGTAACAGTTCCGTGCCGATACCGATGCAACGTTCCGGGTGAGCAGCATCGATGTTGACTTGGGTGATAAGATCTCTTTTTGGCTTCTCGTCGTGATGAACAATCTGTGGATCGAAGTCGCTGCTACTGCCGATCACGAACGTTGATGCTTTGCGGGCACGCTTGTTGTCGATGTAACAATGTCGGGACACTGTATGATTGTCACGGATGGTGATGACACGGCCCCTGATCGGTATTTTGATGCATTGGTGGTAAGGAGAAGGGACGGGCTGCATGGCATTCAGCCATGGTGTTCCAAGGAAGGCATTATAGATTGCAGGTCGGTCGATAACCTCGAACTTGACCGTAATTGACTTCCCGCGTATGGTGACAGGCATCGTTATAGTTCCTATCGTCGAGATCGAGTCTCCAGAGAATCCAGTGAGGGGGTGATGGTGCGACTTTGATATCCCGCTCGGGGATACTCATCTTGCGTAGAGTATCCATAAAGATGAGGTCGACCGAACTTCCAGTGTCGATCAACACTTTGGAGACGTCGTCCTCTCCGAGCCGTAGTGAGATGACGAGTGGATCGTGCGCGTCTTTCTCTGTAAATGTGATCGGTAGGTCATCCTTGAATAGCAGTGGGGCGTCCTTCGAGGGATTGGCTGCTTTCCGTTCGTGCCGTTTAATCGACTTGATCGAGTCGGTGCACGAGAGGAGCCCTCCCATGATCATGTTGATCTACCGATGTGGTGAGCTTGGAGGTGTGTGATCGTCTTCACGGTCACGCTTTGCTTCCTTGCCCTCGCGTTTAGAAGATGGGCGATCGGCATTATCTCTTCTATCACGATCGTCACCAGCTCTTCTATCTCAATCGCCATCGGATCGTCTGTCCTCATCATCGGATCGTCGTGAACTCCGGGGTTCTAGTAGGATGATCTCACCATCATCCCACACCTTCCTCAAGAGGGCTGGGAGGGTGCGGCAATCAACGGTATGATGACCGTGTGCTCTATGATATTTGCACCACGGTTTCTTGCTGTCGGGGTCTCTGTCGCTCGAATGATCCCAAACGTTCCATAGCTTTTTTGGTCGTCCAACTGCGTTGATACTCTTGCGATTCTTGTCATCCTTGTCGTAGTGCTGACGGGGCTCTTTGTAATCGTCCTGATTCGATGATCTGGCTTTCTTGTCGCGCGAAGACTTCTCGTCGGCCAACTTGGCCTTGGCCTTGGCTGCCCGATCCTCCTCGACTCTGATGTAGCCGGTTGCCTTGTGTAAAGCATCTTCGAGGGTTTTGGTCTTTCCTGTCTTCGACCGTTCACAGTACGACGAAGCATCCCTCAAATTCCTGATAAGGATGTTGAGGGATAGTTCGTCCGACAGACTGCACCGGGAGACGATCGATCGGAACCGATCAATGAAATCGCGCAGCGGCTCCGTGTCGCCCTGGACACACGTCCATAGATCGAGCGTTGTGGACTCCGTATCGATATAAATTGAATAATGCTTAAGGAACTGAGCAGTGAGCTCCTTGTAACTATCGATGGAGTTCTTGGGAAGTTGCGAAAACCAGGTGAGGGCGCTTCCGGAAAGCATCTCCACAAAGTACTGACAGAGGCATGCTTCCTGCTCCTCGTCGGTGAAGCGAGCGCGTCCCATGACTGCGTTGAATGCGGTCAGATGTCGCTTCGGGTATGTCGTGCCGGTGTAACTCGGAGGTAGCTTCATCCGACCTATGTCCTTAAGAGGAGCATTGGTGATAGCCGACATGAACGGGGTTTGTGCATCTCCTGGAGGATTTTATCCAATTCTGGTGCTGAGGTCGTCACCTTGTGGATCTTGCTGTGGATATCGTCAAGGCGTTGGTGGAGAAGATCAAGTTCCGAGGTCGTCGTCAGGTCGGTACCTGCGGTATTGCTGGATGAGCGAGCATTCGAGCCCTCTGCCTGTGCTCTCTGCAGGTCGTCTGTCGGTGTCGTACCGAACAGGTTGTTGACCAGCCTGGTCGTATCTGTGTTGCGGATCAGAGGACGAGGGGGAGTGATTAGATCGGCCTGCTCTTGGGTATGAATCCTTGAGTTGAGAAGCCGATCCATATCTTCTCGGTAGACAATCTGTTCGGTACGGAGGGATTCGAAGCGAGCATCCATTCCCTGCTGTAGCTGTGCTGCGACCGACCTGATGATGGTGGTCATGTCGATGGGAGGCGGTTGTGGCAGGTTGGTCGTGTTCGCTCCACCGGTGCGGGCGACCTGATATGTCACGCCTGTCGTGTCTTCTTGCTGATCGGTCTCGTTGATCACGGGGAGTCCAGTGACGGGGTCGACGACCAGACCCTGGGCGTTTCTCGTTGGATCGGCAGTTCCCCCTGCAAGATCGGTGGGTCCTTCTGTTTGTTCGGTGGTGATCGGTGTTTCAACCATCTTCGAATTCCGTTCTAAGTCAAAGATTGTTCTTTTTATCCCCACAGACGGTGCCAACTGTAAAAACTCAAGTTCGATCTATGAAAGAACTAGGATTTATGGGTTTAAAGAGAAGTCTTTTATTAGAAGTAGCCGGAGCTTGAATGAATACACGAGGGTTTAGGTCGTCGGAATAAGAACGCCGACCTAAACTTTTATGGAAAGTAAATCGAAAGCTAGAACAATCAGATTGCTTAGTTTGTCCTAGGTCTCGATAGATGATTTTTGGATGATCTGAGAAGTCGGAGACTTCCTATATTTATAGCTGACCAGGTCGGTCTTCAAAAGGTTTAGAATAGGAATTTCTTCTTGCCGATAAGAAAGAACTTCCGTTTTTCCCGGGTCGCTTCCATTTATATCGCCGACCTGAAACTTGTTAGATGGACCGACCAAAATTCATAACGGACTTGTAGAGATGGTACGAATCTTATCTCTAACAGTATCTGTGACAAATTTACTACAAATAGCGAAAAAAACAACACCATTACCATTGTATAGTTTTGGAAATATGTTAAAGTAAATTCGTAATTATAACTACGGAAAAAAACCTAACTAAGCTCACTTGTTATTGTAGTGTTATAATATGCCAATGGATGTATTACATGTAGGCATTTCGATGTATAGTCCTATGAAGTATTTTGAATTGGCCGGATCAGGGAAACATATCGAAATTGTGGGGCTAGGATGTCTCAGACACATTGGGATGAGGTTTGCTAAAGCATTTGGGACTAACGTTACAGTGGTCAGTTCGACCGCAAGGAAATGTAAGAATGCTCTTGAAAATCTTGGAGCTGATGGGTTCTTGCTTAGTACTGATGAAGACCAAATGCAGGTAAGTAAAACATAAACTATATATAAATTTTCAGTGTGATATTTTTTATTGAATTTTAATTAGTGAAATTTATATAATGTTAGGCTGTGATGGGAACTATGGATGGCATAATCGATACTGCTCATACCAAAAAAATAATCGATACTGCTTCTTCATCACATTTAATTTTACCGTTAATTGGGCTACTCAGACCCAACGGTAAACTTGTTCTACTCGGTGTAATTGAGAAGCCATTTGATCTACCTGTCTTTTCCTTAATCATGGATATATGCATAACATATATAAACATAAAAAAAATATACTGTTTTAATTATTAGTTTAGTTTAATTGTTCAATATTTTGCATCTAGATAAATAAATAATAATGAAGCCATAATATCATTATATCATAAACTATAAATTCCTATTTATATCAAACAAAAGTATTTATACCATTAATTGGTAAACAAATCAAATTTTAAGAATTTATTGTAATGATTATACTTTCTATTTAAAAAAAAAAATATAATAATAATAATAATAATAATAATAATAATAATAATAATAATAATAAGTTTAGCTGGCAACAAAAAAAGGAAAAAAATTGTAAAAGATATTGAAAAATTGGTTGCTGATTCTGGGCCTTCCTGCCATATTTAGATTTATAATATCTATCTAATCACATAAAAATATGACACAAAGTTTTAAATAGGAGAAACGAACTATAAGAGGAAAAGATAACAAAACAAACACGTATATTAATTTCATATATAAATTTGTTCAAATATTGATTTTCTAATGAAATAAATATATCCGCTATTTAGTATGTTACCTAAATAAATAAAAACAGTACTTAAACTCATACAGTTAATTACCAGATTTGGTTAACGTACAATGGGTTTCACAAAACTAAAAGGAAGTTTTTTTTATGATTTGTACTTTATTTTTCTTATTACTACAAATGTAACTATGTAAGTATACGTGCAGCTCATCCGCCTTTATAGCTGACTTACGTCATAAAAGAATGTGATCTCTTTTTTTTTTGTCAACTATATATAGATTATAATCCAGCTTTATAAGATGGTAAATGAAAACATTCTACGAGAAATACAACATTCTTCAATAAAGTGAGTGCATCTTCTTCTCCGAGAAAACAAAACTGCAAAGGAACTCAACAAACAAAACTGCAAAGGAACTCAACAAAGAAAAGGAAATTAACAAAATTTTCCAAATCAACGTGCGTATTTTACATATATAAGATTTATTTTGAACCATAGAGTATCATTTTGGGGTAGACAACATATTGTTTGATCTTTCTGTTTTCTTTGTCGAAGGTTTAGTGAATTGGCAAAAAGATGAAAATCAGAGCTCAAGGAATGAAGGCGGGTCGTATCATGACCCAGGTTTTTGTTCTGGTTTTCTTTCTTCAAAGTGTTCATTCTCGAACGTCACGGTTTGTTCCCTTAACTTCTCTCTCTTTCACTGAATCAAGTTCTGCCAAATTATATTTATTAGATTATTGAAACTCAATTAGATTGTCGTAACACTTTAGATATTTTAATATTTATAAGAGAAAGTTGAGGAAAATGAAATGATAATTGTGTTTTGTATTTTTTCCATAATATTTGTGTTTTTTGGAAGTGATCATATGTTATTCTTGTTTTATTGTTTTATTTTGTTTTTATATTCAAAATTCATAACGTTAGAAATATTAGATCTCATTCCCCTTTCGTATCTAATGCTTAGTTGAACCTACACATAGGTTCATGGCTTCATGCACATTCAAGTGAACATTTTCGAAATTTTCTAATTTTTTCTCTAACTTTAATTCTTGTTTTTCATATTACAGAACCAAATCAAACATCGCAAATCCTGGACAAAATCTCGCATATCCCTCTGTTACGCTTAAGAAAGTTGGCTCTAACCAAGTACGATCGAAAATAAAGTCTATTCCATCTTTTGAATATTTTGTTTAACTATACTACTATAAGGTTTTTTCTAATATCTTATAATATTTCGGTCCAAAACATGAGTGTTGTTGCTTATTTTGTTGTTGTTTAAGGTGGTCGTTGATAATGGTCTTATCCAAGTAACCTTCTCGAATCCATTCGGCTTAATAACTGGAATCAAGTACAAAGGCTTTGACAATGTGTTAAACGACCAAATTAAAAATCGCGGGTACGATAGTTATCTAATTTTATATAACTTTTGAGAAAATATTAAAGATGTTTCATTTCATATATAATTATATTAATTATATATATATATATATAGGTATTGGGACGTATACTGGTATGAACCAGGCCAAAAAGCCCTAGCAGATTAGTAAGTTTGAATCTCTTTTCATATCTTTTTGTTGATATACAATTTACATAACCATACACACACATATATATTTATTCATACTAATATTAAATTTTAACAGTTTCATAGGAACAAAATTTGATATTATAAATCAAACGAGTGAGCATATCGAAATTTCATTTTCGAGAACATGGAATATCTCTCAACGTGGTTCGATAGCCCCACTAAACGTAGATAAAAGGTACATCAAAGTTGCAAGAACAAAAGAATATTACTAAGTTTTGTTTCAATTGTGATATTAAAATATAGGTTAATCATGATCGGATTTTTTTTTTTTAAAAGATATATTATTCGAAGTGGTGTCTCCGGAGTATACATGTACGCTGTGTTAGAGAGGTTAAAAGGTTGGCCAGCAGTGAATATGGACGAAACCAGGAACGTCTTCAAGCTTAACACAACAAAGTAACCATTGTGTTTTAATAAATTTTTAATTAAGATTTTACTGCTAAATGTTTGTGGTTGACAAGCTTTTACTTTTCTTATGAAACACTTAATTTTCAGATTTGATTTCATGGTTGTATCGGATAATCGGCAAAAAATTATGCCTTCTCCAGCAGATCGCGATACCAACGATGGTAGAGCTAGTCCATTAGCTTACAAAGAGGCTGTTCGATTGATAAATCCACAAAATCATATACTTAAAGGATAGGTATATTCAAATGATTATACATTTTGTTTAAAACTTATAACGGATTCATAAGTATTTGGCTGGGGTAATGATTGGGTGTGGCGCAGGTTGACGATAAGTATATGTACTCAATGGAAGACAAGGACAACAAAGTGCATGGTTGGATTTCGTCAGACCAACGTGTCGGTTTCTGGATGATAACTCCCAGCAATGAGTTCCGTGTTTGCGGGCCCGTCAAACAAGATCTCACTTCTCATCTGGGACCCACCGTCCTCTCAGTGAGTCCATCCTAATCAGAATTCTATGTCTATTTTAGTTGTGTAGATGTCACTAACAAAAAAAAGGGCATATTTTTGAAATGTTTTTAAAGCCTTGATCAAAAAAAAGAACAAGTGTTTTTAAGTTGGAACGATCTAAAAAAAATCAATAAAAGAACTTTGTTTCTGGTTTTCTTATAGAAAATGTTATGATATAGTTTTTTTTTGTTAATTAATGAGTGTTTCAGTAAGACAACGAGTGAGTAAAACAAATAATGGTTTATCTCCTCTCCGGTTCGATATGGAACATGAAATATATATAACCTAGGTCTGCTAATTAGTTATTCGATTTTATTCTAAAATATTCGGTTTTTTTTACTGATAAAATTTGGTTTTTTAGATGTTTGCAAGTGTACATTACGCGGGTAAAGATATGAACACAACTTATACAAGCGAGGAGCCGTGGAAGAAAGTGTTTGGTCCTGTCCTTGTTTATCTCAACTCTGCCTCCTCTCATAATCTCCTCTGGGCCGATGCTAAACGACAGGTCTCGTTAATTATCGTGATTTCAATTACTCTGAATCATAACGACTATTGTTATTTAAATTTAAGATGTTAAAACAATTAATTGTTTAGATGCTTGCCGAGGTTCAAAGCTGGCCTTATGATTTCGTGAAGTCAGTAGATTACCCTCTTTATCACCAAAGAGGAACAGTCAAGGGTCAATTATTTGTCATGGACAGGTAAATATTTTTTTGTTGTTGTTGCTATATAATGTAAATAAATATAATCCTCTAATTTTGTTTTAAATTTTTCTTACATATCTTTAAAATATCCAATGTGTAAAATTATGAATTTTAATTTTATAGGTACAAAAGCAAGTCGAAGTTGTACGGGGGATTTGCTTTTGTGGGTCTAGCAATATCTGGTGAAGCTGGTTCGTGGCAAACCGAAAGCAAGGTACATATATTTATAAAATAATACTATTGGTATGAGAATTTTCGATGATACCCAAAAAAAAAAAAGATTATTATTTTCATGCTATGTACTCGTTACTAAACTGGTCTAGACGACATGAACTTACTCACAGACGGATTACATTTTAATATTGTTTTAAAATTAATTGTGGACACAAGGGATATCAATTTTGGACACAAGCAGACAAAATGGGGAGGTTCACAATAGCGAACGTGAGACCAAGGAACTATAGCCTCTACGCATGGGTTCCTGGATTTATCGGTGACTATAAATACGAGCGAAACATTACCATCACACCAGGTATATATAATCTATTTGTAGAGTTATACATCTGTAACATTAACCATCAAACAAAGATAATTCATTATTTTCATTTCTGTGTGTTGGTTTGGTGTAGGTGGGGAAATAAACGTAGGACGCATAGTGTACGAGCCGCCAAGAAACGGCACGATCGGAGTACCTGATCGGACGGCCGCAGAATTCAATATCCCAGATCCGGACCCAGCCCTTTTCACCAGGCTCGATCTTAATTACTCAAATCCTCCTCAAGACAGGTAATATAATTAAGCACCCGACCGGATATTATTCACAGTAATATAGTTTTCAAAATATAATCAATGGTGTGTTTATCTATAAAACAATACAGATTTAGACAATATGGTCTATTGGATCGTTACAGTGTTTTGTATCCTCGAGAAGATCTTGTTTATGTTGCTGGGGTGAGTGACTATAAAAAGATTGGTTCTATGCACATGTCAACAGGTAATAATAATACATATTTTTTTTTTAGAATGTTAATAATTCACTTAAACCTATTGTTACAAATATATTTTTCTATAACGTGTTATATACAGAAATGCTGGAAATGGGACATTGGTACCAACGACATGGAGAATTGTGTTTAATTTAAAAGCAGTGAATCAAACTGGAAACTACACACTTCGAATGGCTTTGGCTGCAGCCTCGAATGCGGATTTATATGTTCGGGTCAACGAAGCTAACTCCAAACCTACTTTCACGACCGGGTTAATAGGTCGGGATAACGCGATCGCTAGGCATGGGATTCATGGGTTGTACAGATTGTACAACATTGATGTTCTAGGAAAACTGCTTAGGGTTGGTAACAATACGATTTTTCTTAATCAAGATCGGAACTCTAGTTCGGGTACAGGGGTTATGTATGATTACCTTCGTTTGAAAGGTCCTTCGAGAGTTTTATTTTAATGAGTGAGTGAGTGATGTAAGTCGTTATTTTATTCCTTTTTTAATAATAAGTTTTGTTTCATACAACAACAGTGATGTATGGTTTAATTTGTTGCTAGCTTGTGGCTAATTTTAAACACATATTCAGATGTTTTAGGTATCAGATCAATTAAAGGTGCTCATTTATTATTACTCGCTTTATAACTCGCACTACGCACAAGTTTATATTAATTGTTTAGTTTATTTTTTTTTTAATCTAATACCTTTTAATTATTAAAACTATAATCGATTGATAGAAATTTTCTTTTGTATAAGAGAATTTAAAATATAATGTGTAATTTTTTCCTATTTTTATTTATAAAATTTTAAATCTTATTAAGCAAAATAATAATAATGACATCTATCAAATTATCCAACTTTGATGTACACATACATTTGATTTAGAGAAGGATTTCCTTGCTAAGATATTTTTATTTTGTTTAGTTAACCATATGATTTCTACAGTTTTTATTTTATTTAAAGTTTACATGTTTAAATATTTAGTTTTTTTTATTGAATATTTTATTGATATTATGTATATATGCATATATAATCTATGATTCATGTTGATTCATATTTAGTTTTGTTAGGAAGTTGCAGTGATCATGCAAAACTATTTCTCCCTTCTCCACCAGATCTTTCACGAGTTTTAGCTTATATCTTTATTTAGTTTTAAGATCTTTTATTTTTGCTGTCTAATATTTGATAATTTTAGTTTTAAAACTTTTAGGATCACTCGTGCAGAGTCTTCACATTATTTTTTACTGGTTTTATCTTTTATATGCAATTGCATGATTTGACCTGAACATTTTATCTACATATATTAATCTGAGTTTGATTCATAACTTTTTCATACTTTATTATTTAAATAAAATTTTAGAATGTGTTACTTAGGTGTTATTAACGTTGATTCAGATATAAGTTGTGTCTATATATAAAAATTATATTTTACTACTTGCTAAATTCAAATGTAAAGTTATTTATGTAGTGTTTTTCTTCGTTAGTTTTTAAATCAGAAACACTCAGTATATTATTTGTTTTATATTTTAAAATATGTTTGTATTATAAATTTCTGTAAACCTATTGCAACTTAGATATTTATTCATTATTGATACTAATACTTTAGAACTTAGATTTTTTTTGAAATTAATTTCGTTTAAATAGTTTTTTGATACTTTAGATCTTTTGATAGTAATTTTATATTTTATTTTAATTTATACAATTTTTTTGTATGCTTAATATACTTAGGACATATTTTAATTTTGTTTAGATCTTTTGTTATTGATTTTCAAAATATGTAGCATAGACATCAAGTTAATTTTTTATATTAATTTTATAATAATTTTCAAGTTAATTTCATTGTTTTAGATATTAAGTTAATTTGCTTTTACGATATTTTTTTTTGTTATTTTAATTTTTTTTTGACATTAAATTTCCATATAAATTTGAGGATATTATATTTTGGTTTTTTAGATTATTTTTCTTCTCTATTTGTTACTTAAACCTTTTTATTATGATTTTTCCATCTATAAAACAAAATTAATATTTTTTTTATTTTTTGTCAATTAATTAAGAAGTTATAAATTTTATTAATCTATATTATAAGTTTTAGATTTTACGTTATTGGTTTTTGTTGGGTTAAGACTTTTGACATTGGATTTCTATTTAATTTTGAAGGATACTATATTTTTATTTTTTAACATTAATTTCTTTTCTATTTGTTACTTAAGTTTTTTATTTTGATTTTTTCATTTATAAAATGAAACTAATTTTTAAAAAAATAGAAATTATTATTTAATATTTTATTTATATTAAACATTTTTGTATTTAATAAAAAAACTGATGTGGACCAATCAAATTGAGTTTTTCGTCCTATATAAACGCTCTCATTGGCATCAATTTTTATATAGTATAGATTTACAAATTTTTATTGACTAATGTAGATTAGTTTAAAATAATTATTTTACGCTAATTTATAATAGTTATTACATTGTCTTAGTTAAGAGTTATAAAAAACAAAAATAGAAAATAAGAAAGTTTTTTTACATAACATTTATAACAATGAACCGTTTATTAAAACATGCCCTATTTGTAACATAAGCAAAAACACCTATAAATGTGACTCTTTCAAAGGTTTGAGAGCATAAAACAAAAACTCAATAGTACTACAAACATTTTGTTATATAAATACATACATTTTTGTTGGAAAATGAAGACGATCATTTTGTTTTTAATTCTTACATTTCTTATTTCATCATGTAAGTTTGTTTTCTTATAACAACGACTAATTTGTTGGATATTAATTTTTCTTGAATATTATACTGATTAAAAATATTATATTTATGTTGCCTATATTGATAGGTGCATCAAATATTATAACAAAACTTACCTTTGAAGGAGAAAGTCCTTCTTTTAGTGATGTAGAGAAGCCTGAAACTGCTGGAGTAGATGAAAATCTCGGAAAATCTCCTGCAGATTTAGAGTTACAATTTTGTCAAGTATGTGCACATCATTGTATGCATAAAAACAAAAATGTCTTTTGAATGTAAAAATTATATATGTCGATGTAATTGGAACGAACTCCCATAAGACATTATAATTTTTTTTACATATTATAAGATCAAATCTTACAATATAATTAATTATATTCTTAATCTTTGTTTTACTTTATTTTATTTTATTGGGGAGTTATTTCGCAAAATAATTTTATATATCAAAAATTCGCACACTAATCTATTTATGTCTTTTTTGGTCTTGACCAATTTAAAAATAACAAAAATATCACAAAAAGGCTGCAACCCCTTCTAAAACATCAAGTTAATTTCTTTTATACGAATATTTTTTCTTTGATAGATTTATTTTTTTAATATTATTTTTATATAAATTTTCAAGTTAATTTCTTTATTTTAGACATTAAGTTAATTTGCTTTTACGATATTGATTTTTGTTATATTAATTTAAGTCTTTTGACATTAAATTTTAATATAAATTTGAGGGATACTATATTTTGGTTTTTTTTTAACATAATTTTATTCTCTATTTGTTATTTAAACTTTTTTATTATGATTTTTTAATCTATAAAATGAAATTAATGTTTTTAAAATTATTTTCAATTAATTTAGAAGTTAGAAATTTTCTTAATCTATATTATAAGTTTTAGCTTTTACGTTATTGGTTTTTTTGTTAGGTTAAGGCTTTTGACATTAAATTTCCATTTAATTTTGAAGGATACTATATGTTAGAGGAAAAATGAGCACATTTCCTGAAAGGCTTTCTCTAGCAATAATCTAAGTCCATCAACGACAAGAAGACATCGCTGACTTAGCTATGAAAAGGAAACTCTCAAGGATAATCTGAAAATTCCGGAAGGATCAGATCAACTCGAATGATAAAGGAGAATTTCCATATTATTCGAAGAATAAGGGATATTTCCATATCGCAAATATGGAAATATTCACCAAAGGAGAAACGTAAAAGGAGCTCAGAGCAACCGACCTCCTACTCCTATAAATAAGAAGACCCTGGAGCACAAGAGGAACAACTCAGACAACCTAAAGAGCAGCAGAGCTAAAAGAACACCAATGCTTTCTAGTTTACTTCGCAAACACTTTCTTTTCACTTCAGCATAACCTCTCGGTTATACCAATCTTTGTAATCCCTTCATCTTTTAAAGCTATTAATAAAGATCTTATTCTCTGAAACCACAACTGTTAATCAAATCCCTAGTAGAGATTTTCTGGTTCAACAATTGGCGCCGTCTGTGGGGACTAGGAGAATAAATTCTAAAAACTAGCAAGAGAAGATCCAAAGCGATGAGTCTTTCGACTGACGACAGCAACCTCACCAACCTCACCTCTAACACAGAAGATACTACCACGCGTACTGATACGCCTACTCTCGGCAACCCTATCGCCGTGATTCCACCACCTACGGGAAGATCTGCAATGTTTGACGACTCCCACATGATCATGGGAGGGCTATTTGATGACAACAGCTCGCTCAACGAAATTAAGCATCACAAAGAAAAGGCAGAAGAATCAAGGCGCAAACTGATCATTCCAAGAGACGAGGCACCAGTGGATTTCGCAGCAGAATACGGAGCTCACACACTCCGCATGCTGACCCACTCATCATAACATTGTAAATCCACGAAAGCACCGTCGCCAAAGCTTTGGTCGACAGTGGTAGCACCGTCAACATTATCTTCAAAGACACGTTGGCGAGAATGAGCATAGACGACAGCAAGATTACAACAACGGCAAAACCACTAACAGGATTCACGGAAGATACCTTTTATAGCATCAGCTCGATACAGGAACCCACCTACATTGGCGGCGTAACCAAAAAGGTGAAATTTGCGGTCATCAACTGCCCAACTATTTACAACGTCATACTCGGAACTCCATAGATCCGCAGCATGAAGGCCGTAGTCTCGACCTACCATCAATGCATCAAATTCCCGACTCCCACCAACACGTTCACCCTGCAAGGCGATCAATCAACAGCAAGAATGTGCCTCCTTGGCGAGAGAAAGATCAGGATGGTAACTGCATGCATGATCAACGAGGATTTAGACCCACGCCTTCCTTATTACAAAAGACCGAAGCCAGAGCGGGTTATACAGGTAGGCGTTGACGAGCAACACCCGGAAAGAACCGTCAGCATCGGCGGCGACCTCGCAGAAGATATCAAAATGGAGCTCGTCAAACTTTTGTGAAACAAAGTGCATTTATTCGCTTGGTCTATGGAAGACATGAAGGGAATCAACACCAGAATCACGTCGCATAAGCTCAACGTGGACCCCACGTTCAAACCAATTAAGCAAAAACGAAGGAAGCTTGGCCCTGAGAAAGCTCAAGCAGTAACCGACGAAGTAGAAAAACTACTCGGCGCTAGATCAATCACTTAAGTTCAGTACCCAGATTGGTTGGCCAACCTTGTCGTCGTAAAAAAGAAGAACGGCAAGTGGAGGGTCTGCGTGGACTTTACCGACCTCAATAAAGCTTGTCCAAAGGATTGCTTTCCACTTTTCCATATCGACCGACTTGTCGAATCAACAGTTGGGAATCATTTTTTATCCTTCATGGATGCCTTCTCCGAATATAATCAAATCTTTATGCATCCCGATGACAGAGAAAAGACGGCGTTCATCACCGATCGCGGAACGTATTGCTACAAAGTCATGCCTTACGAACTAAAAAACGCGGGAGCTACCTATCAGCGGTTAGTCAACAAAATGTTTGCAAGTCAGCTCGGCAGTACCATGGAGGTCTACATCGACGATATGCTCGTTAAATCTGCAGTCGCTAAAGATCACGTCGGCCACCTCAAGGATTGCTTTAAATCCCTTGAGAAATATGGAATGAAATTAAATCCAGCCAAATGCACATTCGGAGTAACTTCAGGAGAATTCTTAGGTTACGTTATCACACAAAGAGGAATAAAAGCAAACCCAAAAAAAATCTCGGCAATATTGGATCTTCCATCACCCAAAAATACATGCGAAGTGCAACGGTTAACCGGAAGAATAGCCGCGCTAAATAGATTCATCTCGCGCTCCACAGATAAATGACTCCCTTTTTATCAACTACTGTGGAGTAATAAGCGCTTTGACTGAGACGATAAATGTGAGGAGGCTTTCACACAACTGAATGAGTACCTGACCACCCCGCCGATATTAGCAAAATCGGAGGACGGCGAGACGCTGTATCTTTACATCGTAGTTTCGACGGCGGTAAGCGGCGTCCTTATCAAAGAAGATAGCGGCGAGTAAAACCCGATCTTCTACATAAGCAAAACTTTGGATGGAGCCGAAACTCGTTACCTGGCTCTAGAAAAACTCGCTTATGCAGTAATTATCTCAGCATCGAAATACCGCCGGATCTACTAAATAACGAAACACCCACATAAAATCGTTGGAACTTGTATGTTGATGGCGCGTCCTCGAAGCAAGGATCAGGAGTCGGTATATGTTTAAAATCACCAACAGGAGATGCCGAGTACGAAGCTTTGCTCGCAGGAATCCAGCTCGCCAAAGAAGTAGGAGCGAAATATATTCACGCTTTTTACGATTCTCAGCTCGTCGCCAGCCAATTTAAAGGAGATTATGATGCGAAGAACGAATGAATGGATGCTTATCTAAAACAAGTCTAGGAAAAAACAAAACAATTCAACTATTTCGAACTAACAAAAATACCGCGAACTGAGAACACCAATGCCGACACACTAGCAGCACTGGCATAGACGACAGATCCATCACTTCGTCGAATAATTACAGTAGAAATCATCGAGCAACCTAGTCTCCAACTATCCAAAGGATCTTGCGTCATGGTATTGCACCAGGAGGGCAAAGTGGACGCCAAACAACCAAAGCAGCCCTGGCAGGACGAAATTAAAGCCAACCTATCCGAAGGAACAGTCCCGCAAGACAGACGGGCAGCCAGGCGTCTCAGAAGAAAAGCGGTGCAATATTTTATTGAAGACAACAACCTATTCCGTTGGACAGCACACAAAGTAATACTGCAATGTTGCGACAAAGCACAAGCTAAGAAAGTCATGGTCGAAACTCACGAGGGGGTAGGCGGCAACCATTCCGGAGGAAGAGCATTAGCTTTGAAAATAAAGAAGCATGGGTTATTCTGGCCAAGAATGGTCCAGGATTGCTTACAGTTCATACTACGGTGCAAACCGTGTCAGAAGCACGCACCCATCATCAACGCACCCACCGAACTCTTTCAAACTGCCATCCCGCCATACCCCTTCATGAGGTGGTCAATGGATGCGATCGGCTCAATGCCTAAATCAGGTCGCAATCAACACATCCTGGTTATGACGTACTACTTTATGAAGTGGGTTGAAGCTAGAGCATACCCAGCATAAAGGCCATTGACGTCCAGCTTTTCGTATAGGAAAACATCATATGCCGGCATGGCCTCCCATACAAGATCTAACGGCACACCATTTACCTCGTCGACTTTTCGAAACTTTTGTGAAGGCTAGGGAATGCACATAAGCTACTCGACACCTTGCTATCCACAAGGGAACGGTCAAGCGGAGGCTTCTAATAAAACCATTCTCGACGGTCTTAAGTAACGACTAATAGACCTAGAGGGAAGATGAGCAGATAAACTGGACGGAGTCCTCTGGTCTCACCGAACGACTCCACGAACTGCAACAGGAGAAACCCCATTTTTGTTGTCTCACGGCTGTGAGGCTTTAGCACATGCCGAAGCGCATGTACCGAGTGCTCGACAAACCTTAATGGTTTAGAACCCGCAGCTAAACAACAAAAAGCTAATCAATACTCTGGACGGCTTAGAAGAACTTTGCGATAAAACTTTATTGCGCATTCAGAATTATCAGCAGCAAGTCTCTAGGTATTACAACAAGAAATTCCGTGACGGTTCTCGCTTCATGACCTCGTTTTACAAAAAGCCATAAATCCAACAAAACTCGAAGAGAATTGGGAAGGACCATATCGTATCACAAAGATCATCAAACCCGGCGTTTATAGACTGGAAACAATGGAAGGTGAACCAGTAGAGCGAGCTCGAAATTCGATGAATTTAAGGAATTCAAAAAAACATAACTCGGCATGAGAGTGTACATTTGTTAATAAAAACTATGGAATG